AACGCAGGATGTGACCTTCTAGACTAACATTCTCCTGGAAAGATACCTCAGCACTGGGAAACACAGCTGTACTAGACACATGTGCATCTTGACACAGTCTAAGAAGCAGACCCATTTAAATATTCCATGCCATGCTTGCAAACTCTCACCAAGGACAAAATAATCAATCCAAAAATAAGTATCTTCTTCTGAAAGCTGCTACCTGAAACCGACCACTTAGTTTACACACTAATTTTGAATTTTTTGTATTTTGTAAACTGTATGATTACTGATGAGAACTAACAGATTTATAAACTGTTTATAATTTTCTATATAGTATTGTAAGAGACTTAAAGATCAAAATTGCCTCAAAGACAGTTAAGCTCACCAAAGGATTTTGCTCATTATAGCAAACCATACCAAAAGGCAACTGCTCCTTGGTGACTGCCCTGGCTCCCTGTTGGATATGCCTTTGTGAATTCCAGGAAATCTGCACAGTAAATGAAGCCACACAGCAAGAACTAGAGATAAGAGAAAGGTGGTAATTTTGTCCAATAATCTCAGACTATGAAGAGGTAGACAAGCTGGGGAAGCACTGATAATGAATACAAAGAATCCAGAAGGAGAGCCAACTCAGCAACTGTGCTGAAAATCAGCTCTGACTGGGTCCAGCTCTGAAGAGGGATGCCATGGCCCACTGACTCAAAAGAAGAGGAAGACTGAGCATGGGACTAATCAGCATTGGAAACAAGCAAATCATTTAACCAAGAGAACAGGAGAACTGTGCACCCAATGAGCACTGATTCCTTTGTTTGCAACTAAAGTGTACTAAAGGGGAGAAGTTTTGAGTGACCTTTGACCCCCACTACTGAGAAGACCAGAAGAGGACCAATGGGGTGACATCTAGAACCACAGCTGGTGATACCTTTTTACTTAATCTGCCTCTCTCAGTCTTTTTCACTCCCCTCCTCTCCTTTTCTCTTTCTTCGTATCTCTCCCATTTACTGTTAAATGAAATTCATACTGTTGCCTTCAGCATATGGTCTTGTTTGCACCTTAATTTGGGTAGAGGTGTCTCTCAAATAATGGGATGTTAACATTATTTTATCATAGTTGGCACTGATCTGAATGGTCTTTGACAATAGCACAGTTCCCTCTAGGGGGGTTGTGTTGTTCCTTCCCTGGGAACTCTTAGAAACTTTGCCACAGCTTTCCTCTAAGGAAGTTTATGTGTTTTCTCTTGTGGGAACTTTAGAAAAAAAAATGACTGTCCAGGGTGGCCAGTGCAAAAAAAGTATTTTGTTATCTTTCCTTGAAAAATTTTTTAGTTTCCCTTCTACCCCACAGATGGGTTGACACAAGAAAATTGAGCTATTGGTTCCTCATAATGAACTATTGGTTATTCAAAAATCTGAAGATGAAATACCCTGTGAAATAAATATCCCTACAAGATTTGGTGAAAGAATTGTTAAGTTAAATAGGGAAAACGAAAAAAGAATACAAGTAGATGCACTGCTAGCTGTCAAGCATGATGATGCCCAAGAGCTTTGGAATGTGCATAAGAGGGAGAATCTTAGGAGAAAAACTGCAGGATACAGAACCTCTAACATTCTCTGAAACATGATCTTGTAAATTGACATTTTTTGTTTAATGGAGGAGTTGGGAGATAGTGCATGAGTCTGCTGTTCTGCTAAAGAGCAAAACATACCGTTTGCATTGGCATCTGATAACATGCTGATGCTTAATTAAAATTGAAACCACAAATGATTGCCAGGATCAGCAAACAGCTACTGAAATGGTGCCTTATACAACTACTAAGATATCAAAGTCTGGCCATAAATCAGGTAAGATTGAAATCCATTAATATTAATGCATTGGGATACTGAAAATCTGGGTGTGCTTCCAGGATGGCAAAGAGGTAAAATCGTTGGAGTAAATTGAGCCAGTGTTATCTGCCAAACTGTTAAGGTTAATTCATGGCCCCTGGGTAAGAAGCTGAAGTCTGCTAACCTTAACCCTTAAAGAAATCTAGGTAAAGCAATTAAAGCACTCCGTAATTCATAAGTAGTGACACTTGTCAAATTTTTACAAGCAGTCTCATTCCCTCCAGACATTACATTAAATGGAGGAAATCCCTGTGAAAAGATGAGGGAAGCAACAAGAGGAGTGCACCAAATGCTTCATGAAACAGAAGTTTAAACTCTCTAAGACGTAACCTACCAGGGAAATTTGTGTGGCTTTCTTTCTCTAGGAGTGTCAGCATACTGAAGATCTAAAGAACCAGCTCAGAGTGGATGAACCAGTAGATTTACATAAGAAAGCTCACAGTAGTCAGCTAAGAGGATATGATAATGACTTTTCCTTTAGGGCCTTTAACCTTTGTTGTAGATACAGGACGTTTGAATCAACACTAGATGGATTTTCCATCCTCTAATAATCTGTCAGTAGTAGGCTGAATTTTCACTTTTCTTTTTATAGGAACCCGCCAACATATAAGACTGAGCTGCATGGAACCGATAAAACTTTTAAGTGCCATCATAATTGCTTGTATTATCACCTTATTAATGTTTGTGATTTGTTTGTGTTTTCATTGCAAGTGAACTAGTTGGGAGACCATATATTAGTCAAACCATTTTATGTGTTGTTAGTTTGATTTTTTGCCAAGTTTATTTTGTCTTTTATTGGGGAAAAAATTGTGTGGGAAGAGTTTTAACTTTTGTCTCATGAATGTGTAATTTTGTCTAAATTAAATTTAGCCTGAGAGTTGGCATAAGAATTTATGCATATCTGGAATCATACAAATATGTATTAATCAGTTCTGCCTCAGAAGGCTTAGATTTATGATGATTTGGCTAAATTTTTCAGAGTTATTAATGAGTGAGCTGAATAATCCTAATGAAACAAAAGAAAATGTTCCATGGGAAATGGGTGATAATTTCCCTTCTAGACCAGAAGGACAAACAGCCATGAACTGCAAAAGGGACATGGGTAAAATGTGTTATTGTTTATGCTGTTTTTGTCTTTTCTTGTACTACACACTATTTCTATTACCCCCACGGACAGCCCACGAACTAAGGAAAGGTCCCTGGCATACAGCATTTGAGCCACAGGGTGGTGTGAGGAGAGCCAGCTCAGCAACTGTGCTGAAAATCAGCTCTGACTGGGTCCAGCTCTGAAGAGGGATGCCATGGCCCGCTGACTCAAAAGAAGAGGAAGACTGAGCATGGGACTAATCAGCATTGGAAACAAGCAAATCATTTAACCAAGAGAACAGGAGAACTGTGCACCCAATGAGCATTGATTCCTTTGTTTGCAACTAAAGTGTACTAATGGGGAGAAGTTTTGAGTGACCTTTGACCCCCACTACTGAGAAGACCAGAAGAGGACCAATGGGGTGACATCTAGAACCACAGCTGGTGATACCTTTTTACTTAATCTGCCTCTCTCAGTCTTTTTCACTCCCCTCCTCTCCTTTTCTCTTTCTTTGTATCTCTCTCTACCTCCCATTTACTGTTAAATGAAATTCATACTATTGCCTTCAGCATATGGTCTTGTTTGCACCTTAATTTGCATAGAGGCATCTCGACAATAATTGGATCTTGACTATGTAACTAATGTAAACTAAATGTAACTAAAAAAAATGTAAGAATTGGTTAAGCAGGTTGTAACAAGAAAGAAGTCTGAAAGCATCTTTCTTAGCTATTAGAAATTCAGAAAATCTGTACAATGGTTTATTCTTGCAAGTAACATCTAAAGATTATAGTATCTGGAGAGACTCTAAGCGACATGATGGTGAAAATGCTCATATACATTGTGCTTGTACATCATCATTTCACTTACCAAAACAATGGATCTGGAATTTTTAAAGCCATTTTAGGGATCTAGACATCTAAGAATTTTTATAGACTTATTAGAAAACAAGTATTTTATATGAAGACATCCAGACTCTTAGCTTTAGAGACGTATTTTACAAGAAGAAGTTTTCAAAAGGTCTCGATACCAGTTTAAGTCTTAAAGCAAAACATAAACCCTTCCTAAAGAAGAAAGAATATATGCATACTATACTGAGAAGACTCATAATATTTCCCAGGCCCATTACATTTTCAAGCTAGGTCTCACATACAATTGAGAGAGACACTCTCTAAGTATTCTAAGTACTGTTTAAGCTCTTAAGAGAGCTTAAGTATTGAATTCACAATGACAAATCTACCCAAAGCAGGAATAAATTGCTTCTCTTATTAGTTAGCATGTTTGCTTTTGATTACCACACAGTTGTTTCGCTGCAGAAATTTTCTTTCAAAGGCATATTATCATTAGTCATTCTACTAAATTTGAGAGCAAACCAAAACTGTGTTAGTCATTTTATAACTTTTCTTCCCAGCCTTCCACCAAAAGTTGTGACTGCCTATGGCCTTTAATTCTATTCTGCTTTAGATGGTTTAAAGAAGGAAACCATTACTGTACAATTGATAAGAATATGTAAAAGTTTGTGTTAGATTGCAGACAAAGTATTTATCTACTAAAGACTAATATTTTAAATAGCAGTTACCAACCGTTTACTCAAAGAAAAATATTTGTCCTACAACAAATAATAAATGCATTTAAAACATTCTTAACTGTAAAGTTAACTCAAAAGGCCATTAGTTTAAAGTTAGAAAATTCTGATATGGTAGGGTTTCTCATTTAGAAGATTCAAATATTTAGTTTTTCTTTAATCCCACTGATGAAATTTCACTATGTTTTCCCCCACTTCAAATTTACTATTACATAATAAAATAATAAGAATGCCAAAGAAAACCCATCATGTTTTGATTTTGCACAAAAGAAAAATGGATATGATGAAATTAGAAAAAATCTACACATAGGAAGGGGTCATATATCTTTGCTTGCCTGATACCTGACTCTAGACAGTTCCACATTAAACCAGTATTAAAAGACGACATAAAAAAAAAGTCAGAATAATTTCTAAAAGTAAGTCAAACTTTACCAAAAAACCAGCATAAATAATTTTAAACACTTACTCGCTTCTGTAGACATTGCTCTCTCATTCTCTGTTTTCTCCTCAGGCTTTTTGACTTGTCTCTTTCTCTCTTACTCAGCTTTTCGTTGAAGGAAATACTCATAGGCTGCACGAGACCACCAGGTGTGATGTACCACTTGTCTTCTACAGCCCTTGTAGGTGAGGAAAGATTCATCACAAATGGGGACCCATCAGCAATGACACTCCCAGAAGATTGTCCGGTAACTTCAAAATCACACTCACTTTCTGTTTCTCTGTGTAGTAATGTGGTAATGGAAGTAACTTGAAATTGGTTTTGTAATATGTCAGCACTGGAACTATAAAGATCCTGAAAAGAACTACCACCTTTCCGATTGGACCCTAATTGAAAGCGCCCTTGTATGTAAGCAGGTGGATTTTCATTCTGGCCACAGTAAAGTGTTCCCATGTTGCAAGTTTCATATAACACAGGTGACAAAACAAGTCTTTCTCCAGTATTTAAATCCAAGCTACGTGATCTTCTGTGAAAAGGTTTTGCAGTGCATGCATCTTTTACAGGACAGGAAGAAGGGAGATTTCTTTTTTGATTTAATGCCTTTAAGGGAAGTTTTTTACTTTCTATCTCATATCTGGGAGCTCTTACTTCTAGACAAAGTGCTTCTGTTAATCTGCCAGCATCATTACTACTTCCAGCTGCGTAGGAAAGTCCTTGATTTTTGATTTCTAAAGTTGCAGTTACTACTTCAAGGTAGTTATCCTTGTTAAAACCAGACTGAATTTTGAGAAGTAAATGTTTTTCTGATGATTTTGACAATTTAACAGAGAAAGGTGGCTGATGCTCCGTCCAACTTTTGCAGAAATGTCTATTTACTAGCTGTCTGCAGGAATATTCTTTGTTGCAAACAAAGTTAAAGCCCCCTAAGCAGGCCTCACAGAACGGACAGTGCAGTTTTCCAATTGTCCACTGTGCCTATTGACAAAAAGAGAAAAAAACCAAACAAAAACCACACAACATGTTCACTGAAAATAAATCAGCAATAAATAATTACTGGAGTTATTTTCTCCCTTAGTAGGAAGACTTTCTTCTTATTTTTCAAACACAATAAAAGACACTTCACAGCAGAAAGCAAATCCATGATAAATAATGTTCTGATCAAATCTCTGCTTGCTACAGTGATAACTAAGTCTGAGAAAACTAACACACACATTGTAAAATGTAGACGCTTTGAAATATGTTTAAAATTTATTGACAGATAGCATAATACTGCAATACTAATGAAAACATTATGTCTTTAAAGCAGTGAAATCAATTTCCCAAGTTAATCTGGAACTGGCAAGCACAGCTTTTCAGCTGAGTGTTCTGAGTGCTGATACATTTGTTGCATACTAAGTACAGTGGAAGGAGATTTCTTATGAAAAGAATATGGCTTTTCACTTTGATTACCCCACAAAAGCTTAAAATTGTATTTTTATTTTGGTGTATGTAGCATAACAACATAAATCTCTGTGTAGATATCATGACAAATCCTTAACAATCTATATATAAGGAGATAGTTATTTTCATTATTTGTAATTCTCTGAATTTCTTTTCAACCCTGAAGGCACTTTTTCAAAAGGAAATACATATCAAAGATCTATAAATGCCTACATACTAATACAGCTCTTAGTCCTCCTACATATTTAGACAACTATTAGTATTTTCAGAAATTATAATCATCTGTCAGCAGCACTGTTGAGGACTAAAATTATGCAAGTGTTTGTAGGATCAAAGCCCAGGGGAGAAAAACATTATCAACTCCAGTCATACTTCACTAACTTGAGTGCCTAAAGAACCATGAATACGGAAGCTGCCTGACATTTCCAGTTTAAGCATTGTTTTCAGTTACAAATGTTCTTCAAGGCGATTTGGAAAGGCGTGTCCATAACTGATGCTTGTCCTATTGAAAGCTACAGAAAATGTCAGAAAAACCAATTTAGCAGTTTCATAAAAAAACTCCAGCAACTTTTGTGGAAAAACCACACACACACAATGCCAGAAGTTCTGGAAACACTTATTTGAGAAACTTACTCCTGCCTTGTGGGTTAAAACCTCAAAATTACACAAAATATCAAAGATGTATCTTTCATTGCACCAATGAGAATCTATTTCAATCTGGAAAGGTTTGTAGCTTGAATAAAAAATAATAGTTTACATATAACCAAAGGCTTTAAAATTCTTGAGAATTCTGTAAACATGCACAATCCCTCTCAGTTTATAAGGCTGACCAGTGTGTACACAGGCCATACCCAAAGAAGAATTAAGCTTGTTCTGAGACTTAGTCTTAAGTCTCCCACACTCCATTTCCCAGATGCCAGGGTCTAGACACTAAAATTAAGGGAAAAGCACTTTCCAGTGACTTTATTGGGTCTCTCTAGCATAGAGAGCTCTCTAGCATAGAATAGCATCCTGAGTCCTGAGTCTTCAAATGGAGAAGCAGAGTGATTCACGAAAATTAAGAAGGCTAGAAGCCTGGAAAAAATGGATGTGCAAGACACAGTATGGAGGAAAAAGGACATCTCTAGGTCCCATGTGCACAGAGACTGGGAGATGAGGTGTGGTACCAAGGAGCCTGGGACTGATTTAGCATGAGTTTGGCAATGGAGTGTGGAAGCACTGACTCAGTAAAAGATGTAACAGCCTTCTAGTGGAGGAGGTGGTAGGGGGAAAATCAGCAAGATCTGAAAGGGAGCTGAGGGTATACAGATTTAGTGATGGACTGCATAAAGAGGAAAAAATGGAAATGGCTGGAAAAAGAAACCAAAACAAGGGATAAGTGATGGGTAAAAGAAAATCCAGGTCAATAAAGGTCACTAGCAGCACTAGCTACATATTTGTAATTATTGAAGATTATCTATATACTAATATGTACATGAAATCCAAGGAGATTGGTTAAGAACAGGGACAGATGGCAAAAAAGAACTGTCTGGGAAGTAGTGGGTTTTTACAGCCTGCAAATAGATTTTGCACTTATGTAAAATGATTTAGCCTTTGATTCAGGAGTCATACAGGAGAAAATAACACATGATCGCAAAATTATTCAGAGCCCAGGAGGATCTGAAGATAAATCAGAATTGTTTAACACCCCCACCCCCCCACATTTATCCATAAAAACACAGGATCTTGCCAGAGGAGACAAAGTGAATGAGGCAAGAGTTCCAAGGATAATAAGTGATACAATGAACATCATGATGTCAAAGGTGCACACAGAAAATTGCATTGTCTGCCTTTCTCCCCAGAGAAGAACTGCTCCTCTGCAACCTTAATGTGTCAAGCAGTCCACAGGCTTTGTATTTCCTTGGTCCAAATTTGACCCTCCAGGTTTTCAAATGCAGGAGCTAAAGGTCCAAAAGAATAATTTAAGAGCTAAAGGTGAAAAGAATATTACTATCAATATTGAATCCAATTATACTGAAATAATTTAAGAGGCAAAAAAACTGTAAAAAACTGCCTCCTTACTATTAAAGAGTCATGATTAGGCAATATTGTAAAGTGAGGAAATAACTCATGAGCTGTAATTTTCAAACAAACCTCCAGGATTAGTGTTTCTGAACGTAACTGTTATGTTCATTGAAGTAGAAGAGACAACTAATTTTAAAAAGTTTAATTAATTTTTAACCAAAAACCCAGATAGAGCAATACAAAGAAGGAAAATGAAGTCTTTAAAATTTTTGAATGCTTAGTTCAACAGTCATAACAGTATTTTTCTCTTTATGCATCATCTTCATGGGTTTGCTTAGGGCAGAAATTACTTAAAATATAGTAAAAATTTACACTGAAGTCTAAGGAGAAAGGAATGCAAATATCATTTACTTATCAAAATCAAAGATTCTTAAAAGAAAATCTGTGCTGCAAAAAGTACAGCTTCTGCTTATTAGTGTCTAAGCCCCAACATTAATTTCTAGATCTAAAACAACTTTAAGAAAACACCAGCAGAAGTAGTCAGTACAACAAGAAATTTATGAGATGGTTTGTAAATTCAAATGTGCAGTTAAAACTCAAAGAAGCTGTGACACTGGCTTGTCATCAGACCTTTGAATTTTCAGGAAGGTAGCGACTTTCTGTATGTATGACATAAGAGCACATTAAGTATAACAGACTTAAATATGAAAACTGATCTCTTAACAAACCTCCAATCCACTTTTATGGGAAAACATGCTTCTGTTGTCACTGTCAACCTACATGTTAGTACTGCAAGATATGATGATCAAAACAAAGCAAACCGCAAAGCCTAGGTAATAAATATAATATCAAGCATTGACAAACATGGAGAGATGCCCATGACATTTATGGAAAACCACAGACACATTCATCAGTTAAAGAGCAGGAAACAGAATTTATCACTTGTAGCACTTCTACATATGTTAAAAACAAAACAAAATTAAACAACATTTAAGAGAAGAAAAGAAATCTGTAAATGGTAATGATAGAAGTTTCTCAGAAGAATTCCCTCAGTTAAAAGGTCTCTGTAAAATACATGGATATAGCCAGAAAAGTGTCCTTGAAATTTTTCCCCATAATTATTTTACATGCTGAATAATAAAGATGCAAGAAAAAAAAATATCTACCTTTTCAATGACACATTTCACCCACTCTGGAATGGCTTCTAAGCTTACATGCCATGCGTTGCAAGAATTCTGAGCAGCAGCTGAAAGTTGTGGTATCTGTTAATAAAACAATTGTATTGGTACTCAAAATTTATGTAAGCTTTTTTTTTTCTTTGAATATAGCCAGAAGTTAGCTCCCCAAAATCAGTAAACATTAAAAAATTATAAACTTCAAATATGATGTGCTTTTTTAAGCTAAAAATCAGGTAGATACCATCAATAGTTCTCTATTCCTGTATCTAAGAACATTGGGCAAACTCCACTGAGGAAATGTAGGTGTCAGGAGGTGGTTTTGTTTTGTTTAAAAGAACAGAAAGTATGCAGTTGCAGGCCTTCTAAGAATATTTGGAAATTGATTTTAGAATCAGTGTAGCCGGCATAATTTTTCAGTAAAGACGGAAAATATAGTTTACATGAAGACCGTAATCAGCAATGCACAAATGCAACAAGTGGAAGTAATTTTCTAGTGCTTTTTAGAATAAGCAACAGAGTAACCAGTTACTCTGGTAACAGTCTAAAGTTTTTTAGTTTAGACTTTAGAGTTTTTACTGCAATAATGTGATCAACTGAAGAGAAAAAAAATCTAAAAACCTGTAGCATTTTAGTAACTGACACTAAAAAAAAAGGCAATTACCTAACTAAAGTAGAGATACAGGGATGGCTAAAATTATAAGGAAACGCTGGTGAGAAAGTCCTTAAAAGCAATGGTTAAGATTTATGAATATGGAAAACTGTGGATTTTATCTTAAAAATTATTAAAGTCATTGGAATAAAAAATTCATTTTGCTAAAAATTAAAAGTGCAACTACAGACAGAAGATAGAAGCTTTTAAAAATTCTCCAAGTATTGATAGAAGACAGATGGATCAATTTATCATGTCTATGCTGGATTTTTTGTCCTATCTGTGAAGACTATCTGCACTTCAAAATGGATATAATTATTAGTGTTTATACTATGTTTGTAATTTCAACATTTGTTTTAAAATTTGTTTTATATTTTTTCATTCATAATTCAGCTATGTCTTTGACTGAAGGTCTAAAATTCACCTGTGAAAACATGCTGAAAACATTACTCTTCTTATCACAGTACTGTCTTTGCCTCCTAACCTCTTTAGATACAGTGCTAAATTACACTTTTTTATTTGCTATCTACATAACTGGAGAAGAAGCTGCTTCAGTCATGTGCACAATGATGGGTGGACCTCCACTCACAACTGAAAGCTCCACCATGGGGAGCTTGAAAAAAGATAACTCCTTCTTTTCACTGCATTTTTTCCATGGAAGCAGGTGGAATTCATCCCTAAAAATCACTTCAACCCACACAAAAAAGAACCATCAAATATAAAGTGTGAAAATTATTCCAGAACTTCAAGCTCTGTAAGCAGAGTGATTAAAATGGGGTTTATGGATAATACTATCTTGACCTTAAAAAGTAACTTTGTTTCTACACCTATTGGCTGTACCCCTCTCTAGTGCCAGAAAGAACGTTGTTGCATTACTAACGCCTTAATAAACACATCACCACCTTCTCTCCTATTTGCTTTTTAACTTTGATTCAAGGGGCTGTAAGCCTTTTTGGCACATCTGGAAAGACCCTAGGCCTTTATGATTAGTAGCTACCATTATAAAACAGCAGGAAATACTCTGTCATAGTTTTATTCTGTGTAATTATCCTTCTGTTTATTTTAATAAAGACAATATAAATTATATATTTATAAAGACAATATAAATTATTATAAAGGCCATAACCCTGCTCAGGGCAGACTAATCTTCTGAACTGTTTTTGTGCACAGACTATGGCCCATCTTAAAAAATGAAGAGCAAAATTTTCTGACTCTACACACAGTTAACTACCACAGTGGAAATTAGAATCAGTCTTTAAAATACACCTTAGACACAAATAATTGTCCTTTAAGAGATATTAAAACAAACAAAAAAAAAACTGCTTTGAAACCATCAAAACCAAATCCAAAATATATTTCTATATTACAAATGGTGATGCTCTATACAGGCTAGTAGTCAGGTGTCCACGAACACCAGCCTGCATGTTGCAGAACATGAAAGTTATCACTGGCTTGTTGAAGGTTATCATAACTTGGCTTCACTAAAATTACTTCCTACACTACTCTCTACAGAACTCCACTACTCTCTACGTACCTCCACAAGAGATTAATTACAAACTGAGTCTAAGTCTAATGCTTCTCGTTAATTTAAAATAAATGGCACCAGAAGAACTTACAAACTCCCTCAGAAGAAGCTATACTTACTTTGGATGTTTTTTTCCCATTACATTTTGCAAAAAAGACAGAATTTGTTATACATTTCCTACATCTCCAGCAACGTAGAACACCAGCCTCTTGGTTGTTCATTATGTCAGCTTGGGATTTTGCACTTCTGTATGCTGACCTGTAAAGACCACAAAACATACAATTTGGTCACCTGTTGAAACACCACTTTTGTCTTGAGACCCTGAAGTCCATAAATATTCTCACCACTGTAGAGCAGACTAATACTTTACTAACAAACATGCTCTGATCTTCTATAGCATGCCATCTAGATGTTTCAAACAGTCACATGTAACAGATGGTTTTATTTCTAGGTTGCACAAAGAACTAGAAAGCAACAGCAACAAAACAGTTAAAAACGAAATAAAATAAAACAAAACTGGTCAATCGATCAAATAAAAAACTTGTCCAATATTTGGACAAAAGAGAACTCCAGTTTTTCTGGAATATGTTCATAGGAATAAGTCATTGCTATCTTAAGCAATAAATAAACATACACACATAGAATGCCACATAAGAATAATGAATGCCAACATAAAACTATAGATGACAGACTCTTTTCTCAGCATGTCCCTGGAGGCTTGCTCCCTTAAATTATTTTGTGTAAAAGGATGAGCACTGCTGGTGTGACCATTTTTCATGGACGTGTATTAACATCCTTGTGAAACAGGACCTAAATTAAGACAACCACAAGGACAAGGCAAATATTCTGTTTTTCTCTTTTTGTGTCTTGTTGTGTCCTGATTGTCTCTCTGGTCTTCTCCAGCTTCTTCCAAAGTCTTCCCTTTTTGTCATGTTTTCTCCAAAGATCATCCAACTCTTCTTTTGAAGGACTTATGTTTTTACCCCCTTGTGCTACCCACATAAAAAAATTAAAAATTTCACCTCCATGGCAACTCAAGCCCTATATTAGAGTTAGGCCTACTCAGAATGCTGAAGTAAGTGTACAGTGCTCACTGACGGGCATGCTGGAGTATAAAACTAAAAATCAGTGTCAAAAGTTTCAGAGTCCAAACATCTGACTTTGCAACTATTTTAACATTTAAATTTTCTCAGTTTTCACTAAAGAAACTTTGAGGTATTCACTACAGGCTGTCTGAAGTGCAGTTTGTCTTGTTGAAACATACAGATTTGTATTTTCCCCATTTCTACCTTTCCTTTTTCTGCCTTGTTTTCTGATTTAATCAAACACAATGAAACACACAGAGAGGTTACATAATACCTTTTATTTACATCTGATGTCTTCATTCATTCACATTTTTTACTTTTCTACAAAAGCAAAAGTCTGAAATACAGTTTGACAAAGACAAGCAGAAATGTGTGTACGTACAGCAGACTCTGTGTGGGATATGGGGTTACAACTGTTAAAACTTGTTAAAGCTTATGTTCACCAGAGGGCCCTGTGTGCAGGCACAGCTGCAGGATACAGGGTTAGAAGACATTTAGTTATCTTGGGGGGTGAGATATAGTTGTGGACAACAACATAACTATATATGGAGTATATAGGTGAGATATGACTTGTCGACAGCACACTGCAGCTGTGCCAGCCAATATAGGTGAGATATGACTTGTCGACAGCACACTGCAGCTGTGCCAGCCAAAAGGTGCCCTTCTCCTCTTATGTTTTGGTTTAGTCTGGTTGAGACAAAAGGGTACAAAAAGGGGGTAACTTCTACATTAAAGTGATTTCCTTTGCATGCACAAAGAGGTTTGTGTCTTTGCTCCCCATTGCTACAACTCTGAGCTCAAGTGTACGTTTTTAACAATAAGATCCATCCACTCTCAGCTTAAAAAGTGAAATTAAGGAAAACAATAAACATTTTCTTGCAATATCACAATTAAAATGAAGTTTTGTTAAGGGTCTATTAACAAATCTTAGGACAGCCAAGCAAAAGATCATGCAAACTAAGAACTTATACTAGTAACCTGTCTTGTTTTTGACAAAAATTGAATGATTCAAATGCTTTGACTTAAGCAGAACTTCAATTTTTATGTAACTTAAACTTTTTACTAACCCAGATATGACAGTGCTGCTGCTTTTTGTATAAGAAAAATTTCAAAAGTGGAATGTATAAAATAACTAGGAATGATTTTTAAACAGTAAATTCATTCTCTGATGATTTTCACAGATGCTATCACTGCTGTTATAACATTAGGCAACCACAGGGTATTAAGAGAATGATTATCAGTTATGAATTTCTTCATATCACTCACTTTAAAGCTGCTCTGTCACACTATATTAGGAACAGTGAAGCAGTACAAGATGACTGTCTTAGCTGCATTGTCCAAGAGAGCAAAGTTCATTATTATTAATCTTCTTCTATACACATGTTCAGGAAGATCTGAGAGGTAAAACTCTCATTGGTCATTAAAGCAACAGTATTGATTAAATGGAACACCACCTCTTGACTAAACAACACTTGCAAATTGTTGTCCTTTACCAAGGACTGTTTGGATTCCTTTGTATGCTTTCCCAGGCCTGAGTGAGAAGCCTGTGTGACTTAGTTTCACACAGGCTCTGTTCCCTGCTTGCTTTTTGCATTTAGTATCCACACTGTTCTAATTAATTTATTCTTCAAAAATTCATAACACACTTCTAGAATGAATTTAATTTTACAAATGTTCAGTGTGAGCCTCAACCTAAGATCAATCAGGATGGACTGAAAGATATTTCACACGCACTTAGCTCAGACGTTCTTTTTAGGTAAAGCCATACCCTCATCTACCCAAATATCTTCTTGAAATGAGGTGATGTATACCCTGCAAAACTTGTTATGCTGTATTATTTTTATCCAGATGATATATTAAGTGTCTATGTACATTCTGTTCCCCTTAGAGAAAAGGATGTCCTGTTGAACAGCCGCTTCATTTGAAGATTATGACTGGAGCAGGGCAAAAACCACTTGGCGACAAAGACCTCTCAACAATCAGATATAAAACTGATGAATAAATGCAGTTGCTATATTTAAAAGACAGGATTCAAGTCATACAAAAGCTCTCTAAGGATCACTGGCATTTGAGCTGATGTAAACATCCTTCTCATCCATATAATATCTTACAAGTTTTACTGCAAAATAAAAGGTCTTTTATTTAGTTAGTTAGTTTAGTTAGTTATACCCTTTGAAAGGTTCTTAGTTGAGCACGTATCTTTTATTAAAAATTACACTTACATAAGAAAAATAAGTGCATAGTATAACTGTAATAACACACATAGCATGGGGTGTATTTTGCGTAACCAAGAGGGCTGATAGTGAACTACACATGGAAAAAATCCAACTCAAATGGATACCTTTTTATATTATGGTACAGCAGGCTGAAGCATTCCTCTGGACTAGGAGTATTTAAAAAGTAAAATTCCTGTAGGTGTATTAAAAACATGCATGTGTCTTTTGCAAGTCTTACAAAGGACAGAAGAAACTCTACAGATGAACATTAACACATTGCAGAGGTTTCTCCACATGTCATGTCTCTCATTTATCACATCAGCACTTACTTTTGTTTTGTTTTGAACGTAAGTTCAAATAAACGCCTATGAACACAGGATTTGGAAGCGGGTTTTTTTGTTAAATGCAGTTTAACCCTAGTGTTTTGGATATATTTTTCTATGTTTCATTTGTCTTGGTTTGCATGCAAAATCGTTAAAAGGCATCTTGTCCTCCGTCAGCAAAAAGGTTCTACATAAAGATAAAAGTTTTTCATTTGGAACTCCAAAAATAGTGTCAGGCCCTGAGTGGGCCTTTTCATCTTAGTACTAGGTCATGTGTGTGTGGCTGTGCTACTTTCAAGTCAGTTGCTTTGTGTGAGCTCATGTTTGCCTCCAAAACAGCATGCAGACAGATCAGAGTGTTAAAAAGTCTATATTTTTCATGGCTTCTGTCTGATGACCTTCAAACTCTTTTCTATTTTTTTGGTAGCAGTAAAACCAGTAGCAGAGTCCTGAGGCTTTCTTTCCAAGCCAGTTTCAGTTCCCTTTCCTGGAAATCATTGGTCCAGTCTCTTAGAGACCTTCAATGAAGATTTTACAGCCTCCCAAACTATTTCATTGTCTCTTTATCTTTTATTATTAACTTTTCCTCTAATACCTACATGTATTTTCCTTTATTTGTAATTTCCTTTATTTGCTGTGAATGCAAAGAACAAAATTGCTCCTTTTCTTCTGTGCAGAACATTTTACAACTTTAAACACATATATTAGCTCCCCTTCAATCCTGTCTTTGAACTAAATACTTTTTTCTCTTTTTCCTCAGAGATAATGCTTTCTTGATCTCCAGCTGTCACTGCTATTTTGTGAGCTCCTTCAAATGGGTCAGCTATTCTTGCTGAATGCAGGTTCTGGATGCAGAACTCACTGAAGTTTTACCAGATGAGGAGACTAGACAGATTACATAAATTTTCAAGGGGAAAAAAAAATCCTATTTATATCTAAATTTCTTATAAAATCCAAATTGTATAATGTATTATATTTTGGTCTTTCTGTCTTCAAAAAATATTGCTAAAAAACATGAAGTACAACTCCAATTAAAAATTCTTATATGTTCACAGTGAAGAACTAAACACAATCCCATAAATTTCTGTTGAAATCTGGTCTAGAATTTCAACTAACTTGTCCTTCATTCATACATACATAAAAATGGGAAAATGAGTGTAGCACCACAAGCAGTTATCAATGTCATTTCTTCAAAAATCACCTGCGACCCCTTCAGAATACTGCAGCCATGAAAATTACAATATTAGGTTGCAGCAAGAAACTAGGGCACTGAAACTTCAGCAATAGTTACTTAGAGTCTTGAAAAAAATTAGGTGTCAGCTTTGTAAGAGGATGAAAGAGAAAACGAGCTGTCCTAGTGAACAAGAGTCCATACCCCAAGTTCCTGCTCCCAGATAAGGAGGAACTGATAGGTTACCGGCCAGAAAAACAACCACGGAAGACAATAGGGTACATTTAAAAACTTGTGGCTAATTTCTGATCTCCAAAGTATTTCTGATTAAAGAAGCGCATAAAAAAAAACCTAGTTCAACAATGTTTTTCAATAAAATAGCACTTAAGATGGGGAGACAGAAAAGAAAATTTAAACAACTCTCTCCAGGCTGCCAAAGAGAAGCAGAAAGATACACCATCTGCTTCCCTGCATCTCCTTCTCGTCTACGAACTCTCCTCCTACCATTTCAGCCATTGTGCGATCAGCTTTGGTATCATGGAAGTTAGTAACAGTGATGACTAGTGGATGTCAGAGGGTGGCGAGTGTGATACTTCCTTTTGTAGCAAGACTAACCCCTGTAATTATAGGAATTAAGAAAAAAAAGAAAAAAGAAAGAAAAAAAAAAGAAGAAAAAGGTCCTTGCTACGTTATTTCTTGACTTGCTAAACCCCCTAGCGCATGCTGCTTAAGTCCTTAAGTCAACAGGTCTTCCAGCTAGGATATGGAGTGTGTAAACAGCTTTGACAGGGAACAGACCTGGCGGGTCACTGGACGACCACTGATCGGCGTGTTACCTCGTTTTATCCAAGAGATCCCAAGACCAGAGCTGTCTGTTTCATGCTCTTACACATACAGGCATTTGCTGTTGCACAAAGTGAAGACCGAAACAAGCAGGAATAGGGTGCCCTTGTGAAGACCGAAACAAGCAGGAATAGGGTGCCCTTGTCTCAGCATAGCGCGGGACACAAGGCTGGGCGCTGCCGCAGCTACTGCCCCGGACANCTGTGGCGGGGACGGGGGCAATGCCCGCTCCAGCCTGCGCCGCGCCGAGCCTCGAGGCTGGCACGTCCTCTCGTCTCCTGAGTGACAGAGATGGAGCGGGGTGGGGTCAGCGCTGGCGGCAAGCTGCGACCAGGGAGAAGGGAGGCGGAGGGAATTAAGGTTAAGGGAATGAGCGAAAACTTTTCAGCTGGGACAGTGCCCGTTGAAATGGCCCTTGCCTCAGGCCCGAGGAATAATCCGATACCCAGAGGTCGTACTTTCATAGAGCGAGGCCAGGGACATCGCAGGACTCGGCGAACGCCCGCCGGCCGTCACCTGCTAGGCTGGGTGTCCTCAGCAGCCCCCGACTGTCCTAATGTGCAGCAAGAGAAAGGAGGAAGCGTTACATGAAATGGGGAGAGTGAACGGAGGACGATAATGGATGGGTGTTGGAAATTGCCGCACATCACGCGGGGCTCCGTGGAAAGGAGGGCGGCCGGCGGCCCCCTGTGTGCCGCGGCAGCCAAGAGACGCGAGCTGGAGACTTCCAGCCATCCGCACGGCGTCTTCTGCACCTCTGCGGGGATCTGGTCTCTTGCGGTGGCACTGTGGCTTGACCTGGAGCTGATACGTGCTCCTAGCTGACAATCTGCTAATGATGCTAACGCTGATGTCAATCTTCAAACACAGGAAGGGAACAATTTTAAAGCAATGTGAGAGTAAGAAAGGCTGGAAGATTGCTGAGGAAAAATAAATTAGCCTCTGTTCACTTCTTCGCCTGTGGAGGTGATTTGGAAAACTGAAACCTCCATTTCAGGCTTTCTCCTATATTTATGATATATAATTTCTGTGATCTTTCTTGCATTTCAATCAATATACAATCCCTACAGGTCAAGACAAGATTATATTATCAGGTAGCTGTTTTGCATAATGTACAACTAACAGTAAGATCTGGGCTCTCATGGACACCAAAGTGCACTGCAGGAGATTACAACATGAGATGTGCTAATTGCTGCTTTTTCTTCCTTAGTGTGGACCCAGTAAAGAACGTCATAAGAAGGATGCTCCCAATAATTAAATTCTGTTTTACTCTGCCATGTACAGTGACTACATGTAGGAGAAACAAACAGTTATTTTCAAATAATTTATAGCGTGCTACAGGATGCTCAAATTTAGACTAAAATGATTATTAGAAAAAGCAACATTTATCAGTCATAAAGAATTTCTGTTCATAAGGCACGTTTTAGCAAATTTAATTGAAAAAGCTATAGAGAAACATGTGAAATAGATGAATGGAAGAAATAAAATACAGATTAAAATAACAAGTTTAAGACATTTGAGGCCTCAACTTCTGACATAAAATAATGTTGAAAATATTAGGAGAGAGATGTTTTAAATTTTTTTCATCCTATATGCTTCAGTTTAAGGATGTAGGGTTGGACTACTTGAATTTAATAGAATCTCACGGATAAAGAGAAATAGTCGTGAAAGTGGCACTGAGGGTAAGAAATGAAAAGGACCGTATGGCTCATGTTGCAGCAAATGGAATGAGGAAAAATGAAAGTTTACTGCTGGCTACAAGACTATATTCAGAGCCATTCAGCTATACTGTCTGGTTAACTCTATTGATTATCTTACAGATAATGTTTGTCTATCGTGGGTAGCTGGACTGTGGAAAGCTGGAGAGGATGAATTGTGCTGTGGCTTTGGGACTCATGACAGGCTGATGCCGTAGTTAATTCCAAGGCAGGCTATATATTAAATGCCTTTTGCTGGAATAGCCCCTTAAGTCTATGGTAGGAGTTCAAGGATCATTGCCAAAATCACACAGTAAAGTCATGACCCAGAGAGTGTCTTTGCTGTTGTGAGGCATTGATTGTGTCTCAGGAAGACTGCATTGGAGATCTGTGCAGTGGGTCATTGAACACTGAGGCACCCAGCAGGGCTGCAGCGTTTGGTGCATGCAAAGTGGCACATTCTGTTTTCATCCCCAGAACAATGGAGACTGTATCCAGCTCACAGGTACTCAATGAGAACCTCTAACAAGTGGTCATGTATTCCAATAACCACACCAGGAACATGTCATTTCCATTCCAATTGTGTTGATACAGCTGCCTAGGGGAAGGGATGGCCTTGTTGCCATTCCTGTGTAGAGAAAGAGTTTCTTTCTCTACCAAAATACTTCTTCAATACAAGAAGTTACATTTTCTGCAGCTTTCAGGAGTGCACTGATGACTACCCAAGGCATTAGCCCAGGCTGTAAACCTTGTTCTACAGCCCATTAGGCTGCTCCTATATGTGGGATCATCTCCAAGACCTGCATAGCTATTATTTGGTCATTTGTTCTGGAGTGAAGTGTCTTAGGACCATTAGGAGAAAAAAATGAAGAAACAGGAATTGTTGGGTAGAACTTTTGAGACTTGATACTGAGCGCATAAGGAAAATCATCTCTGCCATTACCTGTTGGGGTTTCTTTGGTTTGGTTTTGCTTGGGTTTTTGTCTGTTTGTCTGTTGTTTGCTGGGTTTGTTTTGGTTTGTTTGTTTCCCCCATTCCCAC